AAATAATAGAATAGAATAAAATAATAGAATAGAATAAAATAATAGAATAGAATAAAATAATAGAATAGAATAAAATTAGATAATAGAATAGAATAAAATTAGATAATAGAATAGAATAATAGAATAATAGAATAGTATAAAATAATAGAATAGAATAGAATAAAATTAGATAATAGAATAGAATAAAATAATAGAATAGAATAAAATAATAGAATAGAATAATAGAATAGAATAAAATTAAATAATAGAATAGAATAAAATAATAGAATAGAATAAAGTAATAGAATAGAATAGAATAATAGAATAGAATAAAATAATAGAATAGAATAGCATTGCAAAGCATAGAATAGGGTAGAATATAGAATAGAATACAGAATAGAATGGAAGGGACCCTGGAGGTCTTCTAGTCCAACCCCCTGCTCAGGCAGGAAACCTTATGATATTTCAGACAAGTAGCTGTCCAGTCTCTTATTGAAAACCTCCCTGGGTGGAGCACCACGACGTCTGGTGGCAAACAGTTCCCCTGCTTAATTGTGGGAAATTCTGTTTGGAAATTCCTCCTTAATTCCAGGTGGCTTCTCTACTTAGTTAGTTTCCATCCGTGGTTTCTCGTCATGTGACCTTGGAGGCCGTGCAATGGGCCTGATTCTCCTCTTAATGGGGACGTCCAGTTTTCCCACCAACAATACAGGCAGTCCTCGACTTATGACAACTCGTTTAGTGACCGTTCGAGGTTACAATGTCACTGAAAAAAGTGGCTTAGGACCGTTTTTCACACCGGTGACCATTGCAGCATCATGCGGTCAAAATTCGGACGCTTGGCAACTGTTTCATACTTATGACGGTTATGTGATCCCCTTTTGCACAAGCAAAGTCAAACGGGGGAAGCCAGATTCACTTAACGACCGTGTTTCTAACTTAACAGCTGCAGTGATTCCTTTAGCAACTGTGGCAAAAAAGGGTGGCAATTGTCTTGCTTAGCAACGGAAATTCGAGGCTCAATGTTGGTCGTAAGTCGAGGACTACCTGTTCCTTCCACCCTAGCTCTTTTCTATTAGTTTTTCCTCTGGTGAGGAGCGCCCCCTTGTGGCACCATTCGGAACCACATCGGAGTCATCTACCAAGCAGAAGATAGAACATAGAACAGTGTTTCTCAACCTTGGCAACTTGAAGATGTCCGGACTTCAACTCCCAGAATTCCCCAGCCAGCATTTCTATTCTTTTCTTTCAGTTTTTTCCATTCTTTCTTTTTTCTTTTCCTATTTTTTCTTTCTTCTTTTCTACTTTCTTTTTTCTTTCACTTTTTTCTTTTCTTTCTTTTCTTTCTCTTCTTTTTCTTTTCTTTTTTCTNAAAGAGGTGGCAAAAAGAGGAACGAGAGGTTTGTACCCAGACGACACAGAAGGAAAGATGGGAAGGTTTATTTTTGTCATTGGAAAATAATAAAACTCTTTATAAAAATAAAATAATAATCATCATAATTGAGGTTCCACTCCCTTACCATGATGGAGAAGACCAAGGCCAGGATGTTGACCGGCCAGATGGGGCAAAAGCAAGAGAAGATAGCCAGGGGAAGATAATCCGGGGAGCGCCTGGTTTCGGGTAGGTTGGAGGTGGTGGCGGTGGACGAGGCGCGCCCCAGGCTGAGCCGCGACGGGGAGAGCGAGGTGGCTTCCAGAGGGCCGTCCGAACCGGCCCGGTAGAGCAGCCCGTGCCCGTTGGGCTCCGCCGCCGCGGCCCCGACGGCAGCCGCCTCCCTGTCCTCCGCCGGGCAGAGCTTGGGGGACGGCGGGCGGCTCCCCAGCAGCTGCTCCGTCTCCTGCGAGGAAGAGGAGGCGGCGGCGGCGGCGGGCGGCGGCGGAGAGCCGGCCAGCGCCGTCTCCAGCTGCGCGTTGGCTTTGATGGCCATGGGGCTCTTCCTGCGGCCGCTGCCCAGCCTAGGCGCCCATCGCTAGGGGAGGAAGGATGGGGCTTCCGCGCCGCTGCCCAGATGCTGCGCCTCGCTGCGCTGCTTTCCGCCACCTGGCGCTCTGTGCGAACTTGGAAAGGCGTCCCCGGGGCTGGCTGTGCAACGGCTGCCCGGCTCTGAGCTCACAAGGAGGAGGAGGAGGAGGAGGAGGAGGAGGAGGAGGAGTCCCGCCCAGGCAACTCTCTGGCTGCCAGGCTGGGTAACATCATCAGTGATAGAAGGAAGGGGGGAGGAGGAATGTGGGGTGCTTGGTGCTCTCTGAGGTGGGTGGTTTTCATGTGGACGTTTCATTACCCAGCTAGGTAACAACGTCAGTATAGGAAGGGAGGGAAGGAAGGAAGGAAGGAAGGAAGGAAGGAAGGAAGGAAGGAAGGAAGGAAGGAAAGGAAAGGAAAGGAAAAGAAGGGAAGGGAAGGGA